TTAGTGCTAATATAGGAGCACAAGTGGTAGAAACAGGAAGCAAGGCAATTTGTATCTTTTCAAGCTGTTGCAGCACCTCCCACTCAATAAACTAGTGATTTCTGAGCTCCTACAGTGAAATGACAGTAGTGTACTCGTACACTAGGTGTACATGGCCGGTCACAAAAATCTACAGGTGCACCACACGATGAAACTACACCAAAGTGTGCTCCACGTCAAAAGTGACGCCACAATTGCTTGAAAACAGCGGGAATAAACAGGCCATAAGACTACACCAACGAGAAACCCTAAAAGCCAAATAACACTACACGCAAAAGGTTGCTGAAAAACCCTAACAGGTTATATTTTAAGATGTTTTTTTTAGTGAGCAATAAAAGCGACAGAATGGGAACAAGGAATAAGAACGCAAGAGGAGCAGATATAAACAAACATGTGACACTGTGATGCTATCTTTTATTTAAGGTGGGGCAGTGCACATTATGTAAAACAAACACTCAGGTCTGTCATGTACAAGTGCCAGACTTAGCAATACAGGCTAATTTATAGCCCCTAATAGAGGCATGTATTGTTAAAAAAAAGGGGGAAAAAGGAAATGCACACAAGCACTTGATCACCAAATAGTAGTAGAATAACTACAAAACATATGCAAACTATATGTCATATGTCAAAAAACTCCCCCCCCCAAAAAACCCCAAACAAACAAAAAAACCTGTGATAAATTAAGCATACGAAAGTTCATGGACAGTAGAAAAAAATATATTAGCATGCACATATTAAGATATTTATAAATAATTACAAATGAATAAGCATATTCCATAACCACTGAATGACAGATTTACCGATATAACAATTTTTTAATATCCAAAATTTAAAAACTTAGGCAAAGGTTAGTTTTATCATGAATTTTGATATAAAGATATTGGTCTCCTTGATCACTACGTGTGTACTGGTTCAGGAAAAGCTAAAATGATTGACCTCTACTGGAAACACTGATCAATCAGTTTAAACAATCAGAGAATTAAAATATAAAAAACACATTATCTGTTAATGTCTAT